TTTGCCGTGTTGCCCAGGCTGGTTTTGAACTGCTGAGCTCAAGCTATCCTCCCACCTCAGCCTCTCAAAGTGTTGAGATTTACAAGCATGAGCCACCGCACCTGGCTTCTTTTCTCTTTTCTTTTGAGACAGGGTCTTGCTCTGTCTCTTAGGCTGGAGTGCAATGGTTTGATCATGGCTCACTGCAGCCTCTACCTCCTGAGTTCAAGCCATCCTTCTGCCTCAGTCTCCTGAGTAGCTGGTGCGTACCACCACGCCCGGCTAACTTTTTATTTTTGTGGAGACGGTGTCTCACTATATTATCCAGGCTGGTCTTGAGCTCCTGAGTTCAAGTCATCTCCTGCCTCAGCCTCTCAAAGCACTGGGATTATAGACACGAGCCACTGTGCCTAGCCCAGAATAAGCCTTTCAAAAACTAAATTGCATTTTGCAATTACCTTCAATGTCATCTCTTAGAAAGACTTATGAAGATAAGGTTCCAAACCTTCACCTTAGCCTGAGCCTTCTCCTCTATTTTAGCCACATCTCCAGGGACATCTCCAGCCACTCTAACGCCCCCTTGTGACCATCTGAAGGCACGGAAATGCGTGCCCATCACACTGGGGAGGGAAAAGCAGATTACATGCAAAGCGTGTCTGGCATATCCTCATTTATGTAAAATTGAATACGCCTATTTCATTTAATTTTATTTTTTTTAAGAGTTGGGGTCTTACTATGCTGCCCACGCTGAAATACAGTGACTATTCACAGAACCCACAGTTTAATCTGTATACATGCACAGAACTTTCAGGAAGGATACATGCAAAATGTCAGCTGTGGTTACCCCTGGGTGGTATCATTGTGAGTAATTTAAAAAATATATGGTTTGAAATTTTCACAGAGGTAAAAAGTTATTTTTATAAAAGTGATCTGTGACTCTTAGATTGCTTACTCATTCTTTAAGAGCTCAGATAGGAAAGAGAAAATTCAATATGATCTCAGGCTGGGCACGGTGGCTCATGCCTGTAATCCCAGCACTTTGGGAGGCCAAGGTGGGTGGATCACCTGAGGTCAGGAGTTTGAGACCAGCCTGACCAACATGATGAAACCCCATCTCTACTAAAATTACAACAAAAAAGAAAACATTAGCTAGGTGTGGTGGCGTGCACCTGTAGTTCCAGCAACTTGGGAGGCTGAGACAAAAGAATTGCTTGAACCCAGGAGATGGAGGTTGCAGTGAGCCAAGATCATGCCACTGCACACCATCCAGCCTGGATGACAGAGAGAGACTATGTCTCATGTCTCAAAAATAATAATAAATAAATAAATAAGATCTCAAAATGCTGAGTGTGATGGCTCACGCCAGAAATCCCAGCACTTTGGGAGGCTGAGGTGGGAGGATCACTTGAGACCAGGAGTTTGAGACCAGCCTGGGCAACATAGTGGGATCCCATCTCTATAAACTATTTAAAAACTAGCTAGGTGTCGTGGTGCATACCTGTAGTCCCAGTGACTTGGGAGGCTGAGGAAGGAGGATCGCTTGAGCCCAGGAGTTTGAAGCTGTAGTGATCTATGATCAAGCCACTGCACTCCAGCCTGGGCAACACAGTGAGCCCCATCTCTAAAAAAGAAGAAAAAAAATCTCCAAAGTTAATTTTTAAAGAAAAAAAAGTGGATGGAGAGTGTGCGTAGGTAGCAGGCTGAAGTGGGGCTGCTGGAATGCTTGGCTTGGTTTTGTTCTGGGGTGTGTGTGCTTGGTCTTGGGGTGGTTGTGACCACTGGGCATGTTATAAGGGACACATAGATTTGATTTTACCCCAAGCCAAGGGTTCAGAATGTCGGCACTGCTCACTGCAACCTCTGCCTCCCAGGTTCAAGTGATTCTCCTGCCTCAGCCTCCTGAGTAGCTGGGATTACACGCATGTGTCACCATACCTGGCTATTTTTGTATTTTTAGTAGAGACGGGGTTTCTCCATGTTGGCCAGGCTGGTCTCGAACTCCTGACCTCAGGTCATCCACCTGCCTCAGCCTCCCAAAGTGCTGGGATTGCAGGCATGAGCCATTACATCCAGTCCTTTTTTTTTTTTTTTTTTTTTTTTTGAGACAGAGTCTCACTCTGTTGCCAGGCTGGAGTGCAGTGGCGCGATCTCGGCTCACTGCAACCTCCGCCTCCTGGGTTCAAGCAATTCTCCTGCCTCAGCCTCCCAAGTAGCTGGGACTACAGGCACATGACACCACGCCCAGCTAAGTTTTATATCTTTAGTAGAAACGAGGTTTTACCATGTTGGTCAGGATGGTATTCCTCTCTTGACTTCGTAATGTGCCTGCTTGGCCTCCCAAAGTGCTGAGATTATAGGCGTGAGCCACCACACCTGACCAAAGGTACATTCTTCTATTAAAAGGTCAGTCCAGGCCAGCTGCAATGGCTCACACCTGATAGCCCAGCACTTTGGGGGGCCAAGGTGGGAAGGCTGTTTGAGCCCAGGAGTTCAAGACCAGTCTGGGTAATTTAACGAGATCTTGTCTCTACAAAAAAGAGAAAAAGAAAAATTGGCTGGGTATGGTGGTGCATACTTGTAGTCCCAGCTACTTGGGAGGCTGAGGCAGGAGGATGGCTTGAACCCAGGAGGTCATAGCTGGGTCAGGGGTGTGCAAGGCTGGGCACTCACACTTTAACGAGGACTAGAGGGGGTATGTCTGCCCTCCCCACTGTTGCTTCTGTCTTCTGCATGCGTGCCTCTCGCCCATTTCCTGGGCTTTGGTGTCCAGCTCTAGGTCCTCTCCGACACCCTGTGCCTGTCCTCACCCGCCATATGTGCCACTCCATTCGGAGCAGCAGAGAGAACCACAGCTTTCTAGTGGTGGCAACTTTGTGTTCCGTGAAGTGTTTTCTGTATCTGGCTTGGCTGCATTTTCCTCTAGAAATCTGCATCCTGAGTATAGATTTGGCTTTGGGAGAGCCGTCCATCTGGACATGTTTGATTGTAAAGTACTGTCTTGTATTTAAAGTTAGGGCCATTCATGACAAAGAGCAGACCTGGGCATGTGGCTTTCTAGCCTAGAGATTGCAGGAAGTCTCTGGGGCCTCAATGAATGCAGGAGGCATGTGGTCTGTAGAGTCATCTGGTGTTCTGTGACATTCTATTTGTCCTCAAGCTCTGGCGAGTGAGGCTCAGAGCAGCCCTGGCCTGCCAATCCCTTTTCACAGCGTTCACAGTGCCTATAAATTTCAGAAATCTTACTTTGAGGATATCATTTAGCTAACACATAATTTTTTTTTTCTGGTGGTTTATTGATACTTAAAAATAATGTTTGCAGTACTCCAAGTAGGGACTGGTGTATATTGATAGTCTACCATATGGGCTCACTAGGAAATAAGGGAATTCTTTCTCTCTCTCTCTCTCTAAATAAAGATAATCCCATTAAATAGAAAAATCCCTTTCCAGGTAAATCTTTCATATATATATATATATATATATATGAATATATACTTCACCTTTTAAAATAATTCCTATCATTACTGAATACTAATGATCTGCCAGCCTTTTACATACCTTAGTGCATTTAGCCCTTAAGAACCCTGAAAAGCTGGTATTATTCTCACCATTTAGCCAGTGAGAAAAATCAAAGCCTAGAGAACTTATGTAACTTGGCCAAAATTACACACTGGGTGAGCGAGTGCCTGAGTGGGGATTTGAATCCAATTTTGTCTGACCCTGCAGCCCAGGGGATTGCCAACACACTATGATGCCTTACTTATTTCTTACAAGTTAGAGGCGATTAAGCATATTTTAAAACTTTTCTTGATGAGTTATTGACAAAATTATGAATATCAGTGATAATGCAGTGCTGAAGGACTGACTTAGAGCCTCAGGGGAAGTGGTGGAAATCACGTAATGCGTAAGCAGAGAGAGAAGGAGCAGGGTGCAGCCAGGTCTCGGGGATGAACTGGGACTCAGACCCATACCCGTCGGGACCTTCTCCATCCTTCCTCTCTGCTCTCTCTGTGCATCTATTTCTATTTTTTTCTCTCTTTTCCTGCAGACCAATCTGAAGGTAGGCTGTCCAGGGCTGGTGTCCATGGCTCTAGGACATTATCAAAGACCTAGAGTCCTCACAGCTTCCTGCTCTGCCTTTCTTTTGCTTTTGCTCTTGTTATCAGAAGACGGCTGCCATTTTTGCAGGCACCAGCCTCTCCTCCCCGGCTAGAATACAGGATAAAGGTGAAGGGCAATGGAGAATCTGCCTTTTTATTTAGGGGATGCTCCAGTGATCAGGGGCAGATCCTCCCCTACCATCATGGAGCTTGTAATCCCTCAGGGAAGATAAACATGGAGGAGTTAATTGCACAACTGAAGAATGCCATTAAGAAGACGCAAGAGTACCCGAGAGAAATGAGTGCCAATGTTTGAAAGGCAGCTATAAGAATGTTCATATAGCTTCATGCATAATAGCCCCAAATGGCAAATAACCCAAATGCCCATCAACAGAAGAATGAATAAATACATGTGGATTTCATACAACGGAAGACTACTCAGCAAAAACAGCAAGAACCGCTGCCGAAGCAGCAACATGAATCACTCTCTCAGGCGCAGGGCTGCATACGAGGAGCCAGACACGAAAGAGCACACACTGCATTCTGTTTACATGAAGTCTAAGAAGAGGCCAGAAAAGACAAGAGAGTGTTTACCTCTGAAGGGGGGTTAGTATCAGTATTTTTTGAGTCAGGGTCTCACTGTCTCACCCAGGCTGGTGTGCAATGGTGCCATCTCAGCTCACTGCAACCTCTGCCTCCCAGGTACAAGTGATTCTCCTTCCTCAGCCTCCCGATTGGCTGGGATTACAGGCCCATGTCACCACACTTGGCTAATTTTTGTATTTTTAGTAGAGACAGGGTTGCATCGTGTTGGCCAGGTTGGTCTCAAATTCCTGACCTCAGGTGATCTACCCACCTTGGCCTCCCAAAGACCTGAGATTACAGCTGAGAGCCACCATGCCCGGCTCCCTCCCCTTTTATTCATGTCAGACGGGTAATGTGCCAATGTTGTAACAAGGTTTGAGGGAAGCACATCTCACATTTGAGCACAACAACCCAATCATCGCGCTCATGACCTGCAAAAGGACCTAATCTGATATTTGACGCAGGTTTAACATTTACCTGGTTTAACATTCAACAAATTTAAAAAGGTAAATAGGAAAAGTTGCTCTCTGACCCCTGTCTCCCAGCCTCCTAGAACTCTCTCGGTGGCATAAAATCTCTGGAATAATTGACAAGACCCTTGGGATGAGACCCTCATTCGGGGCTTTTGTGCATCTCTAAGCAAAGGCAAATATGTATTATTTCCCCCTCTACAAATGCAAGCATACTGATTTATACCAGCTTCATTCTATCACTTTGGATCTTGAGACGTTTTTCCTCTCAGTGCATAAACAGCTGCCCCAGTCTTTCTGATGATTGTCTAGTATTCCAGTATCTATGTTTACCAGCATTTATTTGAGTCCCTGGGTTTTTCTAAAGATACTCATGTCCTGGGGCTTCCTCAGCTCTAATGTGCCCGGGTATGAGGTACTGGCAGGCGTGGGAACCACTAGCATGGCTCACTGGCCTCTTTCCTCCTCAGTCTATGGTGGGAGCAATCCTGGTTTCCTAGCACTTAGAGAGCTGGTTCAGGGTTTTGGAAAGTCAAATGAATTCCTTCCTTCTGATGAACAGAGAGCAGTCATAGATAAGACTGTCATTTGCAATGGACATAGGACCAAGAAATTGAGCAAAGCTGGCCCGAAGCCCTGGTCCTTTATGTGAGAGTAGGGAAGGAGATTGCATGGTGCAGTCCCTACATTTGCAGATAGCAAAGGACTTGACAGGTAGTAGAAATACAAACAAAGCCATAAGATACATGAAGCTCTTGCCAGACTCTCTGAGATACAGAGAGGTGGTAGGTGGCTTTCAGTCCAGGTAAATGAAAGATGGAATTTTAATTTTTTTAGAGACAGGTCTCAATGTGTCACCCAGGCTGGGGTGCAGTGATGTGATCATAGCTCACTGCAGCCTTAAATGAACTTTTGGGCTCAAGTGGTCCTCCTGCCTCAGCCCCATGAGTAGCTGGGAAGTATAGGTGCCTGGCCAAGATGGAACGTCGACAAAAATACTCCAGACTATACTCACAGCTCCTAGGCCTACACATATGTCTGTGTGGAATATTAGACTGTTTTCCGAGCTCATCAACTTCAGGTAGCCAAAAAAGTTGACTATATGTTGGGCCCAATCAAGAGAAGTACTAGAAACACAAGAGAAAACATTATTATACTATCATAAAAAAGTGTTGCATTTTGGCCGGGTGCGGTGGCTCAAGCCCGTAATCCCAGCACTTCGGGAGGCTGAGGTGGGAGGATCACCTGATGTCAAGAGTTCGAGACTAGCCTGAAGAAACCCCCTTCTCTACTAAAAATACAAAAATTAGCCGGGCGTGGTGATACATGCCTGTAATCCCAGCTACTTGGGAGACTGAGGTAGGAGAATCACTCGAACCTGGGAGGTGGAGGTTGCGGTGAGCCGAGGTCACACCATTGCACACCAGCCTGGGCAACAAGAGTGAGACTCCATCTCGAAAAAAAAAAAGAAAAAGTATTGCTTTTTAAGAAAGAAACAGGGTCTTGTTCTGTCACCCAGGGTGGAGTGCAGTGGTATGATCATAGCTCATTGCAGCCTCATCCTCCCTGGCTCAAGCAATCCTCCCACTTCAGCCTTCTAAGTAACTGGGACTACAGGTGCATGCCACCATGCCTGGCTAAGTTTTAAATGTTTTGTAGAGACAGGTTCTTGCTATGTTGCCCAGTCTGGTCTTGAACCCCTATCCTCCCGCCTCAGCCTCCCAAAGGGCTGGAATTATGGCTGGGATTACAGGTGTGAGCCACTACGTCTGGCAAAAGTGTTACATTTTTGAGTCTGAATTTTATGGAATTTTGGTCAATAAGCCTCAGAAAAATAGGCTGAGGACTTGAGCAGGGCACTTTAAAAGTGAAAGGAAGAGGCAAGGATGGGGATTTTGAAGGAAACTGAAAGCATTTGGACTTTTAAATATGGTAAAACTGATGGATGATATGCCTAATGATTTTATTTTAGAAAATTAAATAGACCTGGCTGGGCGCAGTGGCTCATGCCTGTAATCCCAGCACTTTTGGAGGCCAAGGCGGGCAGATCACTTGAGGTCAGGAGTCAAAACCAGACTGGCCAACGTGGTAAAACCCCATTTTTACTAAACACACAAAACAATTAGCCGTACGTGGTGGTGGGTGCCTGTAATCCCAGCTACTTGGGAGGCTGAGGCAGGAGAGCCGCTTGAAACTGGGAGGTGGAGGTTGCCATGAGTTGAGATTGTGCCATTGCACTCCAGCCTGGGTAACATGAGTGAAACTCTGTCTCAAAAAAAAAAATAAATAAATAAAAAATAAAATAAAATAGACCTACCCCCCAGACTGGAAGCAACCAAAATGTCCTTCGGCAGGTGAATGTTTACACAAACTGTGCTACAGCCGTGCTATGGGGTACTATTCAGAAGAAAAACAAACGTCTACAGATGCATGCAGGCACTGGGGATGGTCCAAGGGAATTACGTGGGGTGAAAAAAGCAAATTTCAAAATCTTACATGCTATGTGATTCCACTTATATAACATTCTATAAACGAAAGTACCAGGTGCAGTGGCTCCTGTCTGTAATTCCAGCACTTTGGGAGGTCAAGGCATGTGGATCGCTTCAATCCAGAAGTTCGAGACCAGCCTGGCCAACATGGTGAAACCCCATCTCTAGGGTGGATGCGGTAGCTCATGCCTGTAATCCCAACATTTTGGGAGGCTTAGATGGGTGGATTACCTGAGGTCGGGAGTTCAAGACCAGCCTGGCCAACGTGGTGAAACCCCATGTCTACTAAAAATACAAAAATTAGCTGGGCATGGTGGTGCATGCCTGTAATCCCAGTTGTTGAGGAGGCTGAGATATGAGAATCGCTTGGACCCAGGAGGTGGGTTGCAGTGAGCTGAGATCATGCCATTGCACTCCAGCTTGGGCAACAGAGTGAGACTCTGACTCAAGAAAAAGAAAAAAAAAAAAAAAAGAAACTTGTATCTACAAAAAAAAAAAAAAAAATAGGAAAACTAGTAGTCCCAGCTACTTGGGGGGCTGAGTGAGAGGATCACTTGCAACCCCACTTCAGGTTGAGGCTGCAGTGAGCGTGATTGTGCCACTGCATTCCCGAGCCTGGGTGACAGAGAAAGATCTTGTCTCCAGACAAAACAAAACACCCAAATTATAGAGATGGAGAATATGATAGACTAGTGGTTGCCAGGGTTAGGGAGGTGGTGAGGAAGGGAGAGAGCTCTGACTGTGAGAGTGAAGCACTAGGGACCCTGGTGGTCAGGAAACGTGCCCAGCTTGACTGTGGTTGTAGTGTTACCCACCCGTGCAATACAACTACGTAGAACTAAACATATACACAAAAAACAAGTGGAAATCTGATGTAAAACTAGTGAAATATGAAAAAGGTCAGTAGATTGCATCAACGTCTGCTTCCCAGTTGTGACACTGGGTACTACAGTTATGCAAAGTGCTACCATTAGCGAGAGACTGGGCGAAGGGCACGTGGGACAGATTTGAGATCTGCAATTATCTCAAAAATCTAATTTAAGAAATCAAATAAGCCTAGACTGTTAGTGCTAGAGAAAAGTGGAAATGGATCACATTGACTTTCACCCGACTCAAAAGGGGGCAGCTCTTGACCTTTAATAGAGGCAGATTTTAAACAAATGAAAACTATGCACCTTTTCACACATTGAATAATGAACTTATGCAGTGTATAAGCCTAACAAATGAGACGATAAAGATTTATATAATCTTTATGTGTGTGTACATATGTGTGTACATATGTGCATGTGTGTAGATACATATACATTTGGACTTTTTAATATGGTAAAACTGACAGATGTATACACACACACACACCCCACATATATATTAGAGACAGTGTCTCAGCTCTGTCACCTAGACTGGAGTGCTGGAGTGCAGTGGTGCAATCATAGTACACTGCAGCCTTGAACTGCTGGGCTCAAGTGACTCTCCTACTTTGGCCTCCCAAACGGTTGGGATTATAAGATGTTGAGCCACTGTGCCTGGCCCAGATAGATGTATGTACATTATATATATATATATATATATACACACACACACACACACACACACATATATATATGTATATATATATATATATGTATATGTATGTATATATATATGTTTATATATGTGTATATGTTTGTTCGTTTGTGTGTGTGTGTGTGTATATATATATATATATATATATACACTCCCAAAACGTCTTCATGTGTCTTAGAAACCCAATGTGGCCTATATATATATTGGGTTTCTAAGACACCTGAAGACGTTTTGGGAGCATTTCTGACTTGGAGTTGACATCACAAATAAGAGCCTCATGCATCTACAACCAGGTCCCAGATGAATTTAAAATGAACTCAGTAAACGTTTGCTGAGCTCCTAGGAACTGTCAGACACGTCCTGGTTGCTCAGTGTTAGAAAAGCAGGCTGGGCAGGGTGGCTCATGCCTGTAATCCCAGCACTTTGGGAGGCCAAGGCTGGAGGATTGCCTGAGCCCAGGAGTTCAAGACCAGCCAGGGCAACATGGTGAGAGTCTATTTCTACAAAAAAAATCAAACAATTAGCCAGGCGTGGTGGTATATGCCTGTGGTCCCAGCTGCTCAAGAGGCCAAGGTGGGAGCATCTCTTGAACCCAGGAGTTCAGGCTGCAGTGACCTATGATGATACCACTACACTCCAGCCTGGGTGACAGAATGAGACCCTGTCTCAAGAAAGAAAGAAAGAAGGGAAGGAAGGAAGGAGAGAAAGAAAGAAAGAAAAAGAAAGAAAGAGAAAGAAGAAAGAAGGAAAGAAGGAAAGAAAGAAAGAGAAAGAAAGAAAGGAAGGAAGGAAGGAAGGAAGGAAGGGAGAAAGAAAGAAAGAAAGAAAGAAAGAAAGAAGGAAAGAAGGAAAGAAAGAAAGAAAGAAAGAAAGAAGAAAGAAAGAAAGAAAGAAAGAAAGAAAGAAAGAAAGAAAGAAAGA